CCATCCGTGCATCCATTTTCAACCACTTATTCGAAGCGGGTTGCGGGGGAAGCAGGCTAAGCAAAGTAATCCAAACGTCCCTCTCCCCAGCAACGCTTTCCAGCTCCTCCTGGGGCACCCCAAGGTGTTCCAAGGCCAGATGAGACATGTATGATCAGATGCACAAACCACCTCAACTGACCCCTTTCGACTCGAAGGAGCAGCGGCTCTACTCCGAGCCCCCTCCGGATGTCCGAGCTCCTTACCCTATCTCCAAGGCTGAGCCCAGCCACCCTTCTGAGGAATCTAATTTTGGCCGCTTGTTTCCACAATCTCACTCTTTAGGTCACTACCCAGAGCTCATGACCACAGGTGAAGGTTGGGATGTATGGACCAGTAAATTGAAAGCTTTGCCTTCTGGCTCAGCTCCTTCTTCACCACCACCAAACCGCTGATCCATCTCGTGCTCCATTCTCCCTCACTTGAGGCAGTAACTCTCTCCCAACCCGGAGTTGAAGTTGAAGGTATTTTAAAAAACATTCAGGGCTGGAGCCCCTGAAGCCACCCCTCGCTCCATGACTGGAGTGCAGTATCTGTTTTTTATTAATAATTAGCCTTATTTTTTTTCTTACTGCTTCTGTTCATGTGCGTGTTAAGCAACATTTGTGACTTTAATATTAGAGAGCTTAGAAGTGGGTAGAGTGAGTCTTTGAGTCTTTCCATCAGTGAACAGTTTAAAAATAGCTTTGGCTGATGCCTGGTCCATCATTTATCGTGCTTTTAGTGCCAGGGGAAATGTTTGTTTTCTAAAGTAAATTATGTGCCTCCCACCATATGGTACTACTTACACAACTGCATACCAGGCCATGCAAGTGTTTCCTTACATTCCTGCAGTGACAACTATCAGGTGGAATGTGTCCATTTGATGCTGAAGTGTGTTGCACAATAATTATTTGGTGTTTTTCTTAATAACTATCAGCCACAAATGAATTAGATGTTAGTTCCATATTTGAGCTAAACTGTAAAGCAGCAATCATTTGTGTCGTATACCAAAGCCAAATATTGATATACTTGTACAGTCCCATATCAATATGTGTTTGTTTTTTTAATCAATATTATGTTTAATAGCTTTTTTTTTTAAAAAATATAAATAAGTAAGAAGCTTTATGGAAACTATACATTGCTGTAATATCATTTAATTTAATTTAGAACACAGACAGGAAGGTAGCAAATGTTTGCTCCTCCTGTCACATGCCAGGACGCCCTGGGCATAGCAGTAGCCAAACTGTATGCTATTCCTGCCTGTAGTGTGTAATTTTCATCGTTCTGTGTAAACACTGTTCATTTCACATTATGTAAATTGAAAAATCAAAATTTTTAAATACATTTAGTCAACGTGTATTTTGACAGGGGCTCATACTGAGACTACGGTCTCTATCTACTTTTGTACCGAAAGACAAAAAAGTTTGAATGACTGTAGGTGTATTTCAGTTATTTTATTTTATGGGCAAAATGACTCTGGTTGGTTTCACTCTATAAATATAACATGTAATCATGTTTACTTGAGATTCAACAGCATTCCCACACATTTTCATAGACAAAATTTCGAAACTTTGTCCACGACTTTTTAAGGTCCCATGAGATATATATATATATATATATATATATATATTTTCTTGCCCCAGTTGCCCAGCGTTTTTCCAGACATGTCAGATTCAAACTCTATTCAAACATAATTTCAGCTAGCTAGCATAGATGAAGAGAGAGACGTGACGCAGGGAGAAAATGTACATGATGGTTAACAAAATGTTGTCACCCTTCAGGCATATTAGATATATGTTATTTTGACAGCTACAAAAAAACTAGATATACCATTATAATTATTCACAGAAGATTGTGACAATTTAATTACACACATCAAATTTTCATGACTTTTCCAAAACTTTAAATATTTTTTTACTGATTCTTTGACTGTTCCAGGCCTGGAAAATGTGATTATGAAATTCCATGACTTTTTCAGGGTTTCCAAGACCATCGGAACCCTGGTCAAAGGATGCTAAATAAGTTTTAAGTAATAATGTAGATTGTGCTTGGGATCAAAGCTGCAGTTTGTATTAAAGAATTGTCTAAATTTTCGTTTTACGCAATATGCTAAAGTGTAACTTTCCTAAATAAAAATATATATATTTTTGTCAGATGACATTAATTACATAGACCTGACTAATCATGCTTTGAGAAGAAATAATTTAACATTTTGCTCCCTGGGGTCCAAAGGGACCCCTGTCAGCAGTCCCTGTATTTTAAGGGACTGCTGACAATACATTAATATGTACATACGTGTGTACATATACATGTACAAACACACATCAAACAATATATAAAGATTTCATATGTTGTGTATCTAAACAAATAATAATGGTTCATAGGCTTATTACACCGAATAGCACATTGACTAACAAATAAAATAGATACACAATATTTTTTTATTAAAGGGTCAATTGCAAGCAGACAACCAATTACCAAGAAAAACGAATAC